GCTTGCAGTCACAGCCCAGCAGGAGCCACCGCCGCGGGGACTTCTGCCGGTGCCGGGCCAGACGACGCCACGCGCTTTTCCTTGAGCCTCACGCCTGAAGCCATCCTGGTCATCCAGAGGCGCCACCTGGAGAAGCAATTGCTGGCGCGGCCCCGCAGACCCTTCTCCACGCCCTCGGCCGACTCACGGCGCCCACTGGTCCCCTGTCCCCGGACCAGGACCTCGACTGCGCGGAGGGGCGGTCCCACCGACCCGCCTCTAGCTGTGGCTGTCAGTAGCCGCTCTCCCAGTGCCTCGCTGATGCCGCCTGGAGGTTTGCAGGCCACTCTGCCCAGCTTGCGCCCCTCCAGCCTGCGCCCAGTGCTCAAGGTGTCGCTGCTCAATGAGAAGCACAAGTATGACGATGAGGAGTACGAGGAGGAAGTGGAGGTGGTGGACGAGGGCCTGGTGCGCAAGTGCACCGAGTGGTTGCGTGGGGTGGAGTCGGCACACGCTTCGAGGGGACGGATGGGACATCTGGACACACTGCCTCACCTGAGCACACTGTGAGCTAGGAGGGCCTGGTGTGACCCGACCTGGTTTGAAGCCCACCACCACCGCCTCCTGCCCTCCTTGCTCACCTGGACTCTTGTGAACCAGGTAGGCCAGCAAGGGTCAGCACCATAGCCTGGAACTTTCCACAGGTGCACTTGGTCATGGGTGACCCACAGCCTCCTCTAATACCCACCACCCACCTGTGTACCTTATACCGCGAGCCAAGTAGTTCAGCGTGGGACACAGCAGACTTGCCTGACTCCAATGGCTGTCCTCTGCTCTTCCTGCTCCCCCGAGGGGAGGAAGGACCTGTGAAATGCCTTCTAACTCCCACCCGAAGGAGTGGTCCCAGGGGCCCTCCGCCCCAGGTGATATCCCACTTCTTGGAGGACTCTGCAAGCTTGTGACCACTGAGGGTGGGTGGTCTCCTGTTGTAGAGCTGGGACATGGTGCTACATTCATGATTTGTTTCCTTCCAAATCAGAAAGATGTTGGGTGCCGGAAAGCCTAGGAACTCTGGTTAACTTAACTTGTAACTGGGCAGCCCTGTGAGCGAGCTTCAGGGGAACTGAGCTCCTGCTGGTGGACTTGGGTTGTATCTGCACACCCCTGCCCTCACACACACACACACACACACACACACACACACACACACACTCCCGTGCCAATACACAGGCACACCCATGCCCATAGCTATATACGAACTGTCCCTCCAGCAGTCATGGGGCCATGCATACTTGCACAGCCACCCACACGTGCCCATGATAATGCATACATCGCCGTTCTCGCATATATGTGCATTCATGCAATACATCAATCTCACTGTAGTCACAGCCACACTCGTGCTTTCGGGAGCATGGAATTGTTTTCAAGAGCCATACCAAGGAGGGAACAGGGGTTGGTTGTGGTTGGCATTTGCTAAGAAAGCAGCCTTTAACTGGGGGTACAGCAGTGTCTCCCACACTAGCTAAGGAGGGAGTATGGCCAGGGTGGCATGTGTGTGAAAGCGAGGCAGGGCAAGCCTGCCCACTGGAGCAGTTAGTGTGAGGGGGAAGCAGGAAGTAGCCGTGGGTGAGGGCAGGTATCTTCCATCACTGTGAAGATCAGCAACACAGGGGCTCTGTAAGCTGTAAATAGTGACTTTTTAAATGTGATTTATTATTGGAATGAAGGGTAGAACTCCCGTCTCTTAGCAGCCGTGCCCTTCTCACTAACTCGAGGATGATTCTTTAGGATTTCTTCCGAGCCTGAGTGGATTTAACCCCAAGGATGAGAAGGAAGTATTTGTTCTAGTCAGATCAGGTTGGCAATAGAAGAGTAATGCAGTACCTCAGTTATTTTTTTTTCTTATGCAAGTCAATAACTGGTTTAATGTGTATCTCGTTAGAGTTTAATATGTCAATTCTTAATTGTATTTTAAATCGAAGCCTTACATTTTAAAGAACCAACTGCATAATTTTCCTTGTAGAGAGACCTTTGCTCTCTCTGTCTCTCTGTCCCCGTTTCTCTTTCCGTCTCTCTCTCATCCTCCGCACAAGCTTTGTTAAACATGAAGCCTTAGTTCAGAGGGAGCTACACCAGCCAGCCACTAGATGAGTTTAAAAAAGAAAAAAGCCACTAATTGATTCCTCTTTCTTGATCCTAGTTTGAAAGCTTGGAAGTAGATTTCCATTGATTTTTTAAATGGTTGATGCCAAAGGGGCAAAATTAGTGATGCTGGTAAAGGTAGATGGGAGGTTTTCTCCCTGGCATGAGCAGAAGGGCTCTTTCTCTAGGCAGGACGGATGGGGAGCCTCTGCACCCAAGCCTGGCACAGCAAGGCTTCATGTCACCCACATCCTGCGCAAACACCAAGTCTTAAGATGCTCAGCTCCCTGACCCCAGCAGCTGTGACAGCGCCAGGAACAGTTCCCGGTGTCCCCTAAAGGGATGGCCTCTAAGGAGGTCTTCCTCACTCTTGCCCATCCTCTGGATCTCTGTACCACTCTGTCCATCCCTGTCTCTGTCTGCTTTGGTTTTCTTTCCTCACTGTCTCCTTCAGGCTGCCCTCTCCTACTTCCTGCTCTAACTGGCCTCGGTTCAAAGCTAAGCACATTCTCCCTGGTTGGTTATTCACAGGGGTTTGTGCTCCTGGCCCTCCACTTTAGAGACAGGAGCATGTTTGTGTCGGATGGTCGATGACCCTCCTTAAGAAAAGGAAGGTCTGCACTCGCAAAGTCTCTTCGTCATTGCTGACATTCTGGGGGAACATTCCTATCACTGTGCTACAATTTCTTAATGTTTAAATAAAAAATGGCATTGGATGGTGTGTACTGCTTCTTGGAGAATGTGACTGATAACCATCCAGAAAGAAACCTTTGAACATTTGTTAAGTATTAGGGTCACTAAAGGTCACTGCTAGAAACTGCCTGGATTTCGAAGAATTTTAAGAACAAACGCTTTCTAAGAATGCCACTGAACAGTGACAAACATGTGAGAACTTGCAAATTCCCATGAGAGCTTTATCCCAAATACACCCCTAAAGCCCTTCCACAGAGCAAGAACAGTCTGCATGCAGTGGACTGCATTTCAGGAAGATTGTGAAATATGGACAGATGCCACCTGTATACAGTCAATAAAACTTTTGCTTCTGGCTAACACACCTTCTAACTTGTAGGCCATCCTAGCCAGAAGTAAATGGTTCATTTGAGTTAACAGCCAGGGTTGCTATCAGATTGCATAGTAAGTGTGATTTGTCATTAAGTCTTGCGTCCATGTATACAAGAATAGTGAAAGTAAACATAAGAGCCATCCCCTCCTTCTGTCTTACATGTACATGGGAGAGGTTGATGTCCATCCTAGAGGATTACCTCGTATGTGAAAGGAGAGAGAAAACTGTGCCATGCCTGTGAGTTCCAGAGTTTGACTCTGTGACTTCACCTCCATCCCTTGTGTGACACTTAGAAGGTACCTGGCACTGTCAGATAGGTATCATTACCATTTTTTCTTAATCTTTAAAATAACAATGCCAAAATGTCAGGACCTTTAGTTTTTTGTTTCCTTTGAAATGGTCCAGTTCAGTTTATGGTGGTTGATCTGTGGGGTCCAAGCATGTTAAGCTGTATTGGCCTCTGTGCAGCACACTGCATTGGCCTCAGTGCAGTACATTGCATTGACTTCTATACAGCACACTGCATTGGCCTTTGTGCAGCACACTTCGTTGGCCTCTGTGCACAGGTCATTGTGGCTGTGAGAAATCCACCTGCTGGTTACTTTGCCCCTTGCTATGACAATCATCTGACAAAGGGCTTAAAGAAGAATGGGTTCATTTTAGCTCACAGTCTGTGGTGATGAAGTCCATGATTGAGGGAAGGCACATGTCAGTTAAAAGAGTGATGCAACTGGTCATATCGCATCTGCCCTTAGAAAACAGTGTGAGGTAAATATGGGTGCTCAGTTGCCCCAGCCGGCAACAGGGACCCTGGGAGAGGGGGTGAGAATGAAAAGGGGCAAGAGACTCGAGAGATGGCGACAAGACAGTATTCTGATCAAGTCTTGTTTATCAGATATATCAATAGGGCTTAAGTAGGGTGAAAGGATCAGGAGGCAGTGCGCGAGCGTGCTATTGTCCCACCAGGTAGGATGTGTTGCAAGGAGATAAGTCTGCTGCTGGGGCTTTCTTGACCGCAGAAATGTATGTATGCTTTACAAGAAAATAAGCAGATGTAAAGAATCAGAAACTTAACTGGGTCCTAGTTCCTAAATAGTAAAAGAAGGCATAAGAAACCAAAAAAAAAAAAAAAAAGATGGTATTTATTATGCTATCTTCATTCAGGATCCTCTACACTAAGTCTGTTTTCTCCTTTTTTATTTGTTTATTGTTACATTTAATCCCACTGAAAGCACCAACCTGGTGGATAATGCCACCTATATTCCAAGCAGGTCTTCCCCTTCTCAGTTAAGCCTCTCTGACATGCTCAGAGGTTTGTCTCCTAGGTGATTCTATGTCGACAAGGTAAACCATCAATCACAACTCCATCCCTTAGCAACTTGACACCCAGACACAGTACTTCTAAATGGAAACATGCCACCCCGTCCCATAAAGGCTCATTCCATCATGTACAATACAAACAGTGCAAAAGTCTCTGCAGCATCTGCCAGCACCTACATTGCTCAAAAGTCCAAAGTCTCTTCTGTGACTAGAGATAAAGGCTCAATTTTGAGCCTCTATAAAAACCAGTAAGCCAAGAAAAAAAAAGGGGGGGACAGGAAACAAGTTGTATGCTTCTGATATACAATGGTACAGAGTACATACTGTTAAAAGTTACATGCTTCTGACATACGATGGCACAGAGTACATACTGTTACAAGTTACATGCTTCTGACATGCGATGGCACAGAGTATATACTGTTTTTCCAAATGGGAGGATGGGAGCATAGCAAAGAATCACTGGGGCAAAGCAAGACCAGAATCCAGATGGGCAGACACTGAGTCCTGCAGCTCCATGCTTAGGGTCTGCACAGCTGCCTTTTAGTCCTCCCCTCTGGTTTTCCCACCTGCAGCACACTTGACCTCTCTCTTGAGCTGTGTCCACTCTGTGTGTGCAGCTTTCCATGGCTGATATACCACAGTTTGGGCATCTTCTACATCCCAGGGTTGTTAGTATTCAGGCATCTGTACTGGCCTGTCCTTGGGGTTCTGACAGGATATGCTCTCAGCTGCAGCCACTAAGAGCACCACCACCTGTGCACATTCACTGTGTTCCCTTTTAAAAGCGCCCTGCCCACCTCTCATCTTTCTCTCCCTCTCCCTCTCCCTCTCCCTCTCCCTCTCCCTCCCTCCACAAACTCCCCACATGTCCCTGTCACTCTCTCACTTTACAGCAGAGGGCCAGCCCCCAAATTCAGGTCGTTGTTCAGAGAGTGCAGAAAATGACAACTTCCTTACTTATGTCACAACAGAGTGCAGTGATGGGGCCCCTTAGCTTTTATCATAAAGTCATGGGCTCCTTTCTCTTGGGAACTGCTAAAAGATAACATGTGGGTGAAACCAGCCATCTGATAAAATGGCAAGCAATGCAGGAGAACCCTGGGCAACCACGGAGGAGACAATATCTCCCGGGGGGCTGCATACTGTAGGCAGTGCCTGAACCCAGCTACCTGGCTCATTGCTCAGTGCCTCAGTCAGCCAGCCACATAGCTTCCCGCTCCACCCCCCCCTCCCCACTGCCTCCCAAGTGTGGAGGTCAGGCTGGATTCACATACAATAGGATGATCCTTGCCATCCTCCATCCTCATGGTGTCTAATTCTCTGGCACTGCCCCAGGTTGTGGGCCTCACTTGACCACAACACGTGCAGCTTGGGGACAATCAGGCTAAAGAGTTCTGAGACAATTGCCCCTGTCTGAATCCTCTTGTCATGATGTCACCACACAGGGGAACAAAACACACACGAGGCACCGAAGGAACAGTGACTTCAGACAAAGAGTTCTTTCATCATGCCCACTCCTGTGTCAGCCTGGGAACTGTGGACAAGCAGCAACAGCAGAAGTGTCACCCAGAGAGACCCTTAGATGTGATCTTCTCACCCAAGTTCACACATGCAGACGCCAGCTGCCACAGGAAGGTGGGCTCTGAGGACGAAGGCACCCACCAAGACCTTCTCAGATTTTCTGAATTGAAGGCTCCCAGGGAGTGTCTTCCCTGCAGATCGCACACTGTCAGACTTCTTAGGGATACACCTAGGCTTGAGGCATCAGCAGCCTCTTAGCTACTTCATGCGTCTGCCCCACAAATGATGGGAACCCTTGTCGGGATTTGAGAAGATAGTACTTTATCATTGACGGAGGGAGGGGTTTCTCATACCAGCTTGGGAGGAATACATGTACAGGTGCCAGGGGAAGCAGATGTCACCCTGTCCGTCACACTTCGTTGTGTGTAGAGACCTGGGCAAACGAGTGAGAGGCTGAGGAAAGATAGAGGTTTGACGTGTAAGACGATGGGCTGAAAGCAGCTGTGCCGGCCAGTGTTATGTCAACTTGACACAAGCTAGAATCATCAGAGAGAAGGGAACCTCAACTGAGAAAATGCCTCCATGAGGTCAGGCTAGAAGGCATTTTCTTAATGAGTGATTACGGGAGGGCCCAGCCCATAGTGGGAGGAGCATCCCTCCATGCCCTGTGCATTGGCTCCTGCCTCCAGGTTCCTGCCCTCTTTGAATTTCTGTCCTGACTTCCTTCGATGATAAACAGTGATCTGGAAGTATAAGCCTAATAAACCTTTTCCTCCCTAGCTTGCTTTTCGGTCATGGTGTTTCATCACGGCAACGGTAACCCTCACAAAGACAAGTTGGCACCAGGATAGTAGGGTATTATTACATGACAGACCTGACTGTTATTTTTGGGCGGATGGTTGAGAGCTCAATGGGCTGTTCTGTAGGAGCTTGGAAGATAAGAATTTTGAAGGCAGTGCCGAGGACGCACACTTGGCTTGTGAAGGTTCCGAGGGAAGCAAAGGCTCTACTGGGCTTTTTGTGTAAAGAATCTGAAGAGTTGGCTTGGATTAACAAGAGACCAGAACCACTAAAGTGACAGCTTTGCTTTGCTGGGATACTCGATGCTGGTCAGCTGGAGCTGAGAAATTAGTGGTGACTAAGGAGAGACCAGCATCACTGAGGTGAAACTGGGAAGTGTTTCCTGAGAGTCAGCACATGGATGCTGTGTCCCAGACATGGTCATGGCTCTAGGCCATGTGTGGAGTTGCATACCAGTGATCACCAGCCTAAGCCACCCTAATCAAGGTTATTATTGTTGGGAAGAAACACCATGACCAACAGCAACTTGGGGAGGAAAGGGTTTATTTGGATTATACTTCCACATCACTGTTCATCGTTGAAGAGCAGTCAGGGCAAGAACTCAAGCAGGGCAAGAACCTGGAGGCAGGAGCTGATGCAGACAGTGTGGAGGGATGGAGGGGAGCTGCTTACTTATTGGCTTGCTCCTCAAGGCTTGCTCAACCTTCTTTATTTTTTTTTTAAGATTCATTTAACAAATGTGAATGTTCCATCTGCATGTATGACTTCATGCCAATAAGAGGGCATCAGATCCCACTATAGATGGTTTTGAGCCACCATGTGGGTGCTGGGAATTGAACTCAGAAATCTCTGGAAGAGCAGCCTATTAAGAAATAAAAGGAGCTTGGGATAAAGATATCCTTTATTAGAAAAACACCAGCCAAACGCAAGCCGGAGTGTGTCAGGGGCAGCAAGGCAGGCAGGCCAAAGAGAAGGGGCTCCCATGTGCCTAGCAGCCCCTTAAAACCC